GGCCAAAGGCATCAGGGCGCCATCAGAGAGGAAGCCAGGTGGATGCCCATCTCAGGGCAAGGATTTCCACAGCTTAATCACTGCAAGAGAAAAAGCCTTTTCACACATTCCTGCCAATCACACCTCAAAAAAGGACCATCCTGGTTGAAGAAAGCAGAAAGGCAGGATAGGATGGGAGAAGGCAGCCCTGAAAGTAGCCATGTCCTCAGTTATTTCAAGAGTGTGCAACTATGCACACAAACTGTAAGATTTCTTCAGTCAAGCAACAGCTTGAGGGCTGTCATATTCTCTCTGGGATCTCTCATGTGTGCTTGTCTGCAATGAACCATGCTTATGTTTAGTACTACATGCGAACTGGGTCAGAGAAAGAACTGCCCTCCTTCCTAGCTGCTAAGACAGACGAGAGTGTTTGGGCAATAGTTTTGGGGGGAGGGCTAAGTAAGACGAAGGGGTCTGAGTACTGTACACCCTACATAGCTCCTTCTTCCTGCCCCAGAGTTATTCAAAACAGCAAATACTGCAGAATCAGTTACACAAAATAAAAACAAGCAACTCTGCACAAGCAAAAATATCTGGCTTTCCTTGGTGCAGAATCTGGGTCACCTGGAGCAGAGGATTTTAAAGTTATTTTATGGTAGAGTTCAAGCAGCCCTGAAAAAAAGGGTTTCAGAACAGGATAATAAAAAACAGACCTCATGTTCTGCAGGGAGGCCCTTGGCACTGACGAAAGCTGATGGAAGGGGAAAGGAACATGCTCACAGTTTTCAAGTAATTCAGAAGAGGTTGGAGGGATTCTGTTGCTTTGAAAACAGAGTAACCTGAACAAAAACTGGTTGGAGCTGATGGGAGTTTAAAACATCAGGAAGACACCAGGTTGAGGGAGGCTGATATAAAACACTACCAAGTGTACTTTGAGGGTTGTTCCCCTCATCCCCACTCAGTCAAGCAGCATATAAGATTTTAGACTGTACACCCTTCAATGCAGAATTTATCACTATAATTGTGTATGGAGCCATATGCATTGATGATGCTATATAAATAAATGTTGATAATAATTATAATTATTATTCCAGGAAATAAATAAACAGAGTAAGAGAAGTGACGCTGGAGATGTGTAATCTATCAAACAGCAAATGCAGAAAAGCAAAGGACACTTTCCAAGGGATGTGTGTGTGGTCAAACTAAAAGAAGAGTATGTGTAGGAGCAGCAGCAGCAGTGGACAAAACAAGAGTAACACGTTGAAGATCCCACAGAAGCAGGTCAACCTTTGGGGACTCAGCTACATTAGCAAAAAAAAAAAAAGCATGTTATGTGTTGTATATGCATTATAACACTGTGACACCAGATGGCGCTGTGAAGTTTGGTTTTTGCCAACCCGATTTGTCATACAAAGTTTACAATGAGTTTAACTGAAACGCTTCTCCGATGTGTCTAGATCCAGCCTTGCCCAATGGACCAGTCATGAGGTTGTCCCAAGTACTTCTATGCTACCTAGGGTGACCTCACATCTCAGGACTACTCATTCCAGCCACTTCCTGGTCTGCCTTCCTGCCTTTCTTAAATACGCTATTTAAGGCTCCCCGCCCCCTCATCAGTTTGGCTGAAGTCTACCGATAATGTTATGCACGGAGGAGGCCAAGATGGCGACGAAGTAAGACGCACTTGCCAGAGCTCCCCTTTCCAGTTCATGCTGTAAGTTACTCCGCTCCTATTTTTCTCTGGAAGTTGACACGATAATGTTTTGATGATAACGCCAGGAACTCACCCTGTGGAAGCTTGCAAGTCAGCGCCATAAATCTCCTTAACGAGCTTCACTAACAGCCTGATTAGCTGCAACTTGGGCAGCCACCGGCCGCGCTACCCTGACCTTCCACCAGCTCTTGCTTGGCCTTTGAAGGACTCTTAGATAACCAAGCCGCTCAAGGGGTTTAGCATGACGAACCTAAAACGCGGTCGTACCTCTTCTGTGGAAGACCTTTCCTTTAATGCCTCAGAACCTATGTCTAAGGTTTTGAAGCCTACTGGGCTGGATTCACCACCTAAGACCTCAGAGCCTTCTATCTCATCATTGGAGGAGTTTTTCTGAAGTCTACCTCCCATCAAAAAGGCACTTTTAATGAGCTGGCCCCTCTCTTTAATAAACCGCAAAACACTCATGAACATTCTGTGGCATCACAGGAGCTTAGATCAGTGGCAAAAGAGTTATGATACAACAACAGTTTCTATTTATCATAACCCACAGCATTATAGTACAGTAAAGATGGGTGAGTTCACTTGGGGACAGAAGGTCAGAGACACAGGATCTTATGTCTGGCCACAGCTTAATCCAGCAAGAGGAACTTCTGGCCAGAGCCTTCCCATTTGGCTAGCCAGGTCATTCTGGTGAACGCACAAATACTATCTGCCATCATCCCTGACATAAGGTATTGGGCAGGTAAAGGTAGGGCTTTAAAGGATAGAGCAGGAATTTAACGAGGGCTCCCAGTGGTTCCACTGCTGGAGAAGGGCACACTCCCATCACCCATCAGCTGATGGGCAACACCAGTGCCCTTAGCTTGAGGAGGGAAAAGTGGTTTCTCTTAATGGAAATTGCTACCCACCCCCTGCTATTCTTTAAAGCCTTCCCACATTCCTGAAATAAAGAGAGCTACAGAATGGGCGGATGGGTGCACACAGCATGCAAGAGAAAGGCATGTCTCCAAGAAGCCAAAAAGTTGATCCAAAGATCTCTCTCTAGAACAGGGGTAGCAAATGTGGGACTCACCAGGTTTGGGACTACATCTCCCAACCAGCCCCACACAGCACTGCCAATGGTCAGGGATGATGGGAATGTCTGGAGGGTGCAGGCTGGCCGCTGCTGCTCTTGTTGTTGTTGTTTAGTCGTTTAGTTGTGTCTGACTCTTCGTGACCCCATGGACCAGAGCACGCCAGGCACCCCTGTCCTCCACCGCCTCCCGCACCTCCCGCAGCTTGCTCTGAGGCACCTGGAAAAGCAGGCCTTCATTGAAAATCTGTATCAAGAAGCAGACTGCAAAGAGCCCACAAACATGATGAACGCTCACTTCGAGACAGCTGTCCTCGTCTTCTTCAGAAGGTATCATCATGCAGCAGCTTCAGCATTTACATCTAGCTCTAAAAAAAACAGCACACTGGCTAAAATATATGAAACACTGGTCAGGACCCAGCTGCGGCGGAGGCACCTACAAAAACAAGTTCTCTATCAGGCACGCAAACAAAAAAGTTACCAGCTCCAGACAATAGGAGCTGGGCTAAGTCCCAGTGGCAGCTCTCTCAGAAGTTTTTTTTTTTTTAAAGGGGGGCCTTTCAGATCCTGCTGGACTACAAATCCCTCTCATCCTGAGCACTGGTCACTCTGGGTGGGGCTGATGGGAGTCCAACAGCTTCTGGGGGGCCACAGGTTCCCTGTCTCTGTTTTAAAACTCACCAAAATATGACCAGGGAAGATTAACTTGAAAAAGTGGGGAGCATAGCCAGTAATCCCAGTGAGGGGAAGAGAGCAGGTCACCTGCAGCCAGAGAGTAAGAGTTCAGGTTCTGCACGTCTACTTGTCCCTCCACTAGACAAGGAAAAGAAATTAATAGGAGAGCCTTGATGAATCAGCCCAAAGCACCACATTGCTATTTCCAACAGTGGGAAGCCCACAAGGCAGGCATGAAAACAGACCTCCTGCTCTGTTGCTCCCCTCTGATAACTGGTATTCAAAGGTCGACTGGCTTTGAACTGGGAGATTCATAACAATAACAATAACAATAATTTATTATTAATTATTATTATTAATAATAATAATAATACCCTGCCCATCTGGCTGGATTTCCCCAGCCACTCTGGGTGGCTCCCAACAGAATATTAAAAACACAATAAACAATCAAACATTAAAAACTTCCCAAAACAGGGCTGCCTTCAGATGTCTTATAAAAGTCAGATACAGTGGTACCTCGGGTTACAAACACCTTGGTTTACAAACACCACGGGTTACAGACTCCGCTAATCTGGTAGTTCCTCAGGTTAAGAACTTTACCTCAGGATGAGAACAAAAATGATGCAGGGGCAGCAGCGGGAGGCCCCATTAGCTAAAGTGGTACCTCAGCTTAAGAACGGTTTCAGGTTAAGAATGGACCTCCGGAACAAATTAAGTTTGTAACCAGAGGTACCACGGTAGTTGTTTATTTCCTTGACATCTGATAGGAGGGTTTCCACAGGGCAGGTGCCACCACCGAGAAGGACCTCTGCCTGGTTCCCTGTAACCTCACTTCTCGCAGGGAGGGAACCGCCAGAAGGCCCTCGGAGCTGGACCTCAGCGTCCGGGCAGAATGATGGGAGTGGAGACGCTCCTTCAGGTATACTGGACCGAGGCAGTTTAGGGCTTTAAAAGTCAGCACCAACTTTGAATTGTGATCAGAAATGTACTTTATAGCCATCATGACTAGCAGTCTGCTGTCTGTATATTTCTCCCACAAAAGAAACTTATCATGCCAAGGCAGTGCCAGGGGTGTGATAGGGACAACAGAGAGTGTTGTACCCAGAACACTGATCTGCTTAGAGATTGCTCTGCTTTCCTCATACAGGACACCCCAGGCAAGTTCAGGGAGCCCAACTCCTCTTTCCATTTGGTAAACCAGAAATGCAATTGGCTCCTGGGGTTTTTGAACAGGTATCAATCCCACCTACCCTAACAGGAGGAAGGGGTCCCCAGTTTCCCAATTGGAAATCCAAAATATTGCACCTTTCTTGAAAATACAAGTTATTTAGGAGTCTAATGCTTCACTCTTGTTTTGCTACTAAAGCTGTATGTAAAGTATTAGAGGAATTCAATATTTAAAAAGCATTTTTAAAAGCAAAGTTTTTAAAAAAGAAATTTCCTCAAAATAGCAACAAAAATTGAGCACACACTGGTTTCTAATGAGAATGCCTTTGTTCCATTCTCAAGCTGCCGCCTACATATCCAGAGCAATAGGGATGGTCAAAATATTTTCTCCACTTACTTAGAAAAAGAAAATACTTTATTCAACTGCTAAATTTTGTCTGCTTCAAAGTCATCCCAATTACTACACAAACATTTTTTTAAAAATAAAAATGCAAACACTGTACTGTAAATCACATATGAGCATTCTAACAGGGCACTCAGGATGAGAAGTTTTTGGGAAAAGCATCGGGGGAGGTGGGGAGGTCAGAATACTGATTGATCACATGTGGTGTGGCTGTATCACACGACAAAATCAAATGTTCAAGTGTTTACATTATTTGTTTATAGGACTATGGGGGAAATGGGGTTGGGGGGGAAGTCAGGGAGACTATACTTTGGCCCCTTATGTTAAGAATTCTGAAATATACTTTGGCATTTGCACAGAAAAACAAAAGCAAATAATCAGGGAGTATACCATCAGACCATTTACACATTCCCACATTGACACGCAAGATCAAAGCTCTCCGAAAATGCCCAGGCTTTAAAGGAAGAACACAAATGTCTCTTTTGCCAGAGGTCTTGCATGCCCACCACTGGCAGGCACTCCAGGCAGGAGAGAAAGGGGAGGAGGAGGAGGAGCGCTCAGTTTTGGAAACACAGGTACCAGGTCACCAAACCTGCCTCACACAAGGACATTTGTAAAGTGAAACACTAAAACAGACATGCTTGTGGAAATCTCCAGTTCTTCAGCAGCATTTCACAGAGAAAAATTGTGTGTTCTTGTCAGTTTTTTAGTTTTTTTGCAAACCTGGCAATATCTTTAATCTATTTTCTGTTGTTGTTGTTTTTTGTCGGAGCAATCTGTATCTTACGCATGACACCCATTTGAAGGTCTTTTGCTCCTTGAGGCGGAGGACTCCTTTGGCGCCCGGTGCCTGGCGCAAGAGACACAAACAGCGCCAGAAAGGCGCTTCAAGCCTTTCTGAAAGACGCTGTTGGACAGGCTATAGATGACACAGTTGCAGAAGCTGTTGCTGATGGCAAGCCAGGTGGTCAGGAAGGAGGCTGCTCGGCTGTGGTAGACAGAAGAGCTCTCCAGGAGGAAGTAGATTATGTAGGGGAGCCAGAGGATGTAGAAGACGCTGGTGATGCGCAGGAGAACCATGGCGTAGCGCTTGTCTGGGCATGGCTGGGCATCAGCCGCTTCCCCTTCTTGGGAGCTGAACCGCACACGCCTCTCATTGATCTCTTTTGTGTGCTGCTGGCAAATGCGGAAGATGCTGAAGTAGGTGAAGCAGACCACGAAGGCTGCCGGCGCGTACAGCATGATGATGATGAAGAGGGTGAAGATGGCCCAGGTGTCCCAGGAGTCAGCACACCACTGAAAAACATCCCCGTGGTAGCCGGGCTTTCCCCAGTCAAAGAAAGCCGGGAGGAACACGGCGCCCGAGTACAGCCAGATGAACAGGATGCAAACCCGGAGGCGGCAGGGGGTGACCAGGGTGTTGTAGGACAGCGGCTTGGTGATGGCGATGTACCTGTCCACGCTGATGCAGGCCAGGGAGGTCATGGAGACGCTCTTGAGCACGGAGACCACGTAGCCAAAGGCTTTGCAGATCACAGACTCCGGCAAGAAGGTGACCCGGTAGTGCAGCAGGGAGAGTGAAGGCACCAGGCAGCTCACACCCACCAGGAGGTCAGCGTAGGCCATGGTCTGGATGAAGTAGCTTGTCGTGTGGTGGTTCAGCAGTGGTGCACAGTGGAAGACGAAGATGACCACAATGTTGCCCGAGATTATGAGGACGGTGAGGAAGACAATGACGATCAGCTCCAGCAGGCAGATGTCCAAGGCCTCCGGATAGCCGGCATCCAGGAGGCAGAAGGGCCTGCTGCTGCTGTGGTTGCTACCATCGAGAGAGGCATTCATCTTGCGTTGGTGGCAGAAACCCCCTCACTCTGCTGCCACTGATGGTGGATGCTGCCTGGCTGCTTCTGCTGTCATTGCGGCTGCCACACGTGCCACCCTGTCAAAGCCCAAACAGGAGATGGAGAGGGATGCAGAAGCTCCTTGGAGCTGCTGGGCATTGTCCGCAGTGGCTCCCTCCTGGAAACACCAGCTCTTTGGGCTGCAGCCTCCACAGCCACCGCCCCCTCCTCCTCCTCCTCCTCCTCTCTCTCTCTGCTGGCAGCTCAGCAACACACCACGCACAGATGCGTGGAGGGGGGGGCGATAGAGAAAAGGGATGGAGGGAAGCTCGCCCGCTTGTGCAATTGGGGGGGGGGGAGGAGATCCAGCAATAGCCACGCGAGGGCGGGTGCTAGATGAAAAGGAAAGGAGGGAGGGGTGCCTTTACAGCATCCCCCCTCCCATAGCTTCAGGACGCGTACAAGCCGGCCTCCTCACCCACAACGCTGCAGGACTTCGGCTAGCCTCTCCGCAGCCGGCTGGAGAATGGGCGCCGCCGCCGCCGCGCCGGATCCCGCACCTCTCCGTCGATGCAGGAGTGAGGAAAGAGGAGGAAGAAGAGAGGGTCCGGCCTGCGGGTCCCTCCCCCTCTTCCACGGCTGGGCTAGGCTGAGCTGCCCTCCTGCCTACCTGCAGCCGAGAGGGACAAAGGCGAAGCGAGCGCCGGGAGCAGACGCAGAGGGACGCGGCAGCGGCTGCTTTTGATGCGCCCAGCCAGGCAGAGCAGCTGCCGGCCGTAGAAGAGCCTGCGCGGCGCAGGGGGAGGAACCCAGGTGCGAGGGAGGGGGCGGACAAAGGAAGACGATCCAGGCGGCGGCGGCGACGACAGGAGGGGTAGGGGCGCAGCCAAGAGCCTGTCTTCCGCGCCCGGATAGCCGCAGCAAAGGCGCGCGCGCCCTCGTTTCCTGGCTCGATCGCCGGTGCGCCCCCTCATCTCCAAAGAGGAGCGCCCCGCCCTTTAGCAAAGAGGGGCCGCGGCCGAGTCTGCCAGGAGCCAAGCCCACCCGCTTCGTTCTTCTGAAGGGGCTCTCGGAGGTGCGAAGAGTAACCGTGCGCTCAGAGGTCCAGTTCCCTTACAGGTTTGCAACGCGCCTTTCCTTGGCGGATCACCAAGGCATTAAGTTGATGTTTTTTCCAAAGCTGTCCTTCTTCACCTAAGATGTGCAGCAAAAATCCTAATATGCCCTTCTGAGTTAGACGCATGGGAGTGGGCTGCGAGGGGGCGGGGCAGACGGCATGCTTCACACATCCCAAAGTGCACGCTCTCTCTCCCAAGACACACTCTCCACGTGGTTTAAACCATCTGAACCCAACCCAGCTGGCACACTCCCATGCCCACTGAAATGTTTAAGCTTGGCAATTATGCTCTGCCATGCTCTTAACAGGTCCTATACAAAATCACCACTAAATGATAGTGATCTGGACATTATGGGGAAGACACAACTGAAAGGTATCTGACTTACAGTAAGTAGGAACTGTGCAAGAGCGTCCCTCAGAGGATAGCATCAAAGCCCTTATAGAAGCAAACACAATGGCTGCAATCCCTTGATCAAATCTTAGCTTAATAAGCCACCATATAAATAAGCTTCAAGCACCTGCTTTTAAGCACTTCACTCCTTCCTTTGTGTGAATGAATAAACCAGCCAGGAAGCCACAGTTAAGCCATAGTTTCCTGTTATGTCCAAATGGGGAAACTATGGCTTGTGGATCCCGAACAGGCCAGGACACAAAGCCAACTTTAAACGTTTCTCATAGAAGCCACAACCTTGCTTCAGTGACACATACAACAGCCGAAATTGAGGCTAGCAGGTTCACACACAAACTCTTTACAGGTAATAAAGGTCCTGGAAAACAAGCCGCCTGAGCAGGGCTGTCTTTAGCATATGCGCCGCTGGGGTGCAAAGATCCGCCCAGTGCCCCCAAATTTAGACTGCCAAGGTCTACACCCAAGATATACTTCTCCATGGTTGCAGGCAAGCCATGGCGGCGGCCTGCCCTTCCAAGTTTTGCTGCTGTCGCCCCTCAAGAACCGGGCACCCGAGCTCCGCAAAGGCACGCAGCTTCACATCCAGGCACTTTTAAAAGCTCCCCAGGAGGAGGAAGGAGAAGAGGAGGGATGCAGCAGCCATGCTGATGGTGGGCGAGAGAGCAACGCCTCTCCATGCAGGACGGGACTCTGGGGAGGAGAAAGCGGCCGGGGGGAGGCCAGCTTTGAATGTCAGCTTGATCAAAATTACTTATTTTTTCATAACAGGTAGATAGTTAAGAGCTTAGGCGGCTTCAGCGGTAGGGCCTCCCCAGAATTCAGCACCTGGGTGCCCTGCACCCCTGGGTAAAGACAGCCCTGCTTATGAGGAATGGTTGGGGGAGTGGGGTGTGTTTAGGAAAACAGGAGAGTGAGAGGAAATATGATATCTAAAGGGCTGTCACCTAAGATGGAGCAAGCCTGTTTTCTTCTGCTCCAGAGGACAGGACACAAACCAATGGATTCAAATGACAGGAAGGCATATTGTGACTAAACATTAGGAAGAACTTTTTGATGGTTCAACAGTGAAACAGACTGTCTTGGAAGGCTGTGGACTTTCCTTCCCTGGAGGTTTTAAAAGGGAGGCTGGATGGCCACTTGTCAGGGATTCTTTAGTTGCGATTACTGCATTCCAGGGGCTTGGACTAGGTGACCCTCAGGGTCCCTTCCAACTCTACAATTCTACTACAGTCGTACCTCGGAAGTCAAATGGAATCCGTTTCAGAAATCCGTTTGACTTCCAAAACATTCGGAAAGCAAAGCATTGCTTCCAATTGGCTGCGGGAAACTTCTGCGGTCAATCGGAAGCCGTGGAACCTGTGTCGGATGTTTGGGTTCCAAAGAATGTTCGCAAACCGGAACAATCACTTCTGAGTTTGCGGCGTTCAGGAACCAAAACATTCAATTCGCAAGGCGTTCAACTTCCAGTGTACGACTGTATTTTATAACTAGTGGTTTGAACTGTACTGGGAGAGGAATGGAAGCCAGAACTCAAATGATTTAATCCACAAAGAGTTCTGTAAATAGGTGTCAGCACAGCTATTGGGACAATACCCACCTGCCTGTGGGGGGATGAAGTGCCAATCCCAATCTCTGCTGTTGTGAAATGACAGCCAGAATTATTTGACACATGCCTGGATATGTATTCTCCTGAAAAACTTTCTAACTAGTTGAATGGAAAGGCAAAAGGGCCAGAAGATTTACTGCAGCAGCTCTCACTTCATCCAGTTCTATTCGCTCCGGAGACATCTGCTGGGGAAATGGTTCCAGAGCAGCAGCAGCTGCTGCCAACACAGATGGATGTGTTAATGTAAGGGCCTTCGGCCATGCGGGGCATAGACCCACTAGTGAGGACAGAGGGGCAAAAGTCATCAAGGGCAAACTTCTGAAACAAAGGTTTTGAGTCCTAGCTAAGAAAGGGAGTTGATTTTCAGAGATATTCCAACCGACAGGCCTTTCAGACACTCCACCAGCTCCTTTTGCAGTTGCATTTACTCAGCATCTCCCGGATGTCAACAGTGAAAATAGCCAGTATGCCACCAGAAAGAGACTTCCCACATTTGACGCATTCAGTGTTTCTGTTTTGTTCTGCAGAGCTCAACTGGAAGCTACAGGATGAGGGATTGCTCCTGTACTCAAATCCTGCTTGTTGGTTTCCCAGAGACACCAGGGTGGCCACTGTGAAAACGGGAGGATGTTGTATGGGCCACTGGTCTGCTTTTGCAGGCTCCTCTTATGTGCCCAAAGGACTCCTCTCGACTCCAAGCCTGACAGCAGTTCATTAACCTGCCAGGGAAACTAGGCGAGTCCATCAGGGTTGCATTATGGATCTCCTCATTTGTTGCTCCCCTTTTGCTGAGCCAGCAGAAGCTGAAGCAGCAGCTTGCTGGGTCAGTGGAGCAGCTACTCATGCGGAAGGAGAAGCCAAACAGCCATTTGTGGCTCAGTGCAGCCTCTAAAAAGAAACAACACACAAAATTCAGCCTGTTTAAAAATAAAAATGTACAGTGACAGAAGGATGGATGCTGGTCTGGCTATCAAAGTAAAGCAAGAGATCAAAATTTCCAGGGACAAAAATCAGACCCTGGTCCTTTGCCCCCACCCTCTCAAAGGAGGGAGAGACCCAGAGGACCAAGCTAGGCTAGAAAGTGCATATCTTGGCTTCTACAACATCCTTCTGGGTTTGTAGGCATATAGCCTTTAAAAACAAGGGAAAGAGAAGTTGGAAAAGGTCTATAGCTCAGTGGCAGAGCATCTGGCTTGCAAGCAGATGGTCGCAGGTTCGATTCCAGGCATCACCAGGTAGAGTTGGGAAAGAACCGTGTCTGGAACCCTGGAGAGTCACTGCCAGTCAGCATAAACAATATGGAGACAGATTGAAATAAAGAACATAAGAATAACCTGGTGGGTCAGGACAATGGCTCATCTAGTTCAGCATCCTGTTCTCACAGTGGCCAGCCAGATGGCTGGAAGCAAGATCCTGCAAGCAAGATTGGAGCACAAGAGCCCTCTCTCCTCCTGTGGTTTCCAGCAACTGAAGCATTGCTGCCTGCTGTGGAGGCAGAACCTGGTCTGACACACTATAAAGGAAGCTTCTTCCTATGTTTTTAAAGTCACGAAATTTGGGGGGACAGGAACCTGAAGATTTTGAAAGGGGCTATTTAAGTTGCTATTTAACTTCCTGAGAATTGGAAGCTGGCATGCAGAAAGCCAGTGGCATTTCTTTTCCTTCCCAGGCTGCATTCACTGTTTCCCAAGTGAATGCAAATTCTACACCAAGCTCACCCAAAATTCTGAGAGCATTGTTACTCAAAATGCAAATGAGTCTGCAGAAAACCAGTTCTCCTCCTGATGTCCCGTCCCCTGCCCCAAAAGACCAGGAGAACAACAGCATGGAGAGAGAGAGAGAAATCTCCTGCAAATCAAGCACAGTCAGGATGTTGGAGAAGAGGGGAGAGGTGCTGTTTTAGGATAGCAAAAAAAGTAGGCATGTGAGAGTATCAACTGCTTTTGGGCAGGAGGGAACAGAACCACAGCAACCAGACTTCTTGCTTGCTTGTCTGCCTAGCAAACTCCTAATCCACCATTTATTTGACAGAATTCTGATGGAGGCCAGCAACTGCCTGGGAGATGACATTATCTGGAAAACTGATGGTGGCTATTGGGAGAAAGGGGAAGAGAGGCTGGTGGGTAGCGTAACAGGTGGCCCAATCAAGAAGATCTAGGACAGGCATAGGCAAACTCAGCCCTCCAGATGTTTTCGGACTACAACTCCCATCATCCCTGACCACTAGGTCCTGCTAGCTAGGGATCATGGGAGTTGTAGGCCAAAAACATCTGGAGGGCAGAGTTTGCCTATGCCTGTTCTAGGAGGCAGCTAAATCAATACTGTGAGCCAATTCAGACAGCAAGTCCCACTGCACCAGTCTCAAAAGGCAGACAGCAACGGCAGGACTTGGCCTGAGGAAACTGGAAGGAGATGCAGGTCTGGCACAGAACATATAAGCTCCAGCAGCAAGCAAGGAGCAGTGCCTTGCAAACTCTGTGTTTGAAACTCTGTGTTTGTGGCATTCCACTAGTATGTGTGCTTGTGGGGTGGGGAGAGCGTGATTTACAGGTAGGATCAACAGGTACAGGAAGATTACGTGAATCTCCTATGCAATTACTGTTTCCCCCTTCCAAATAATCATGCTCTTCTTTCAAAGCTGCATCACAACCTTCTCCCAAGCAACCTAGCAGAATAAGCTGCTAATGCCGCCAACTGGAGAGCTTTCCTATATTTCCTGCTTCTTCAGTACCCTTTACCATGCTAGTTACCACAAAAGGGGTGGGGGGCTTGCATGCACCTGTCTCCTTCTTTCATTCCACCTCAAATACCACATTCATTTGACAGGTTTCTGTGCTGCACAGCTGGCAAGAGCCCCAGCGTGAAATGTGGGTGGCTTTAAGGCACACAACTGCCACAAATTTAGACTCAGAATACATCTTGCAAATGTCTGTTGACATTAAAACTCATTGCCACAGTGCTGCGCTGACAAATGCATCACAGTTTTTACACTCCCAGCATGGACACCAAGTAGGCTGGTGGATGAGGGATGGAAGAGTCTGTTCCTCTTCTGCCAGCCCACTCACTCGCCTGCGTGAAATTCCTGGTCATCTAAGGCTACCAGGTTAGTTGTTAAATGCAAGGCTGTAGCAAGACATAAAGAAAATGGATTAGCACCAGTTTTAATACGGAAAGAACAGTGAGATTACAATCATCTTCTCGGCAGCTTTCAAACAGATTTCATTACTTCTGCTGAGCAATCCCAGATTTCTGCCCACCCAGTTCCCAACCTGGTAGATAATAGCATCTATCATTCATTATACTAATTTGATGCCCTCCACAAAACCAGGCCACCATCTATCTGCCCAAATACTCTTCCCCAAGGATTAAGTCACAGACCTAGGACCCAATTCAACTGTACTTTTATTGGCTTTGGCTAAATGTTTTCATAAGGAACAATGAAGATGAAAAGAGCACTGCCAGAAGTTGACGCAATATAATATATGCAATGCATTATAAATAAATGCAAACAAGCTGCATTTTAAAAACCCACTGAGCTAATTTTGCTGACTGACACTCTCAGTGAGCACATCCAAGCCAGTGGCAGTAAAAAAGAAGCAACAGAGGCTGTTGTTTAAAAAACGAAAGAAAGGAGGAAACGATTTTTTTAAATGGTAACGCCGTATTTGTGTTTCTACAAAGGTTTGGCACCATAATGAGTGGTGACCTACAGTTTTCCCATGCACCCAAGCCCTTCACCACAAGATTATGACCTTAGGCAGCAGCCTTCCCCAACCAGATGTTTTGGACTACAACTCCCCTCAGTCTCAACTGGCATCGCCCAGGTTGGAGGAGGCTGCTAGGCATGAACAAAGCACAGGACGCAGCAGACCAAACGGTGCACCTAGTCAACATCCTGCTTCCTATGGTGGGCTGCTGGAAGCTTCAGGGATACTTACAAGCAACAGCCTTTTGCCCACAGCACCTGCTACTCCATGCACATTCTGCCTCTGAAAATGCAGGCTCCACTCAACTCTCAATAAAGCCATTTTCCACATATGTGTCTGATTACAGACCAACCTTTGCCAACCCTGGTACATGCTGGCTGGGATTGATGAGGGTTGTAGTTCACTTTACCACATATATGCCCACTCAACCACTTAATTGATTTATTATATTATTTATACCCCACCCATCTGACCAGGTTGCCCCAGCCACTCTGGGCAGCTTCCAGCATGTATAAAAACATAATAAAACGTCAAACATTAAAAAACTCCCAATACAGGGCTGCCTTCAGATGTCTTCTAAAAGTGGTAAAGGAACCCTGGACGGTTAAGTCATATCAAAGGCAACCATGGGGTGCAGCGCTCATTTCGCTTCAAACCAAGGGAGCTGGCA